TAAGATGTCGTTAAACTGGTGATATACATAATGCTTTAGTGAGCATACAGAGAAGAGTTAAGATGTCGTTAAACTGGTGATATTTCTAACACTTTAGTGAGCATACAGAGAAGAGTTAAGATGTCGTTAAACTGGTGATATTTCTAACACTTTAGTGAGCATACAGAGAAGAGTTAAGATGTCGTTAAACTGGTGATATTTCTAATGCTTTAATGAGCATACAGAGAAGAGTTAAGATGTTGTTAAACTGGTGATATACCTAACACTTTAGTGAGCATACAGAGAAGATTTAAGTGTTGTATTACACTGAGAAACTAGTACATTGATTAAATTGAAATCTAACAAAAATAAATATTCCTTCTTGATAATGACACTGCAGGTTCTTTCTAGTAGTAATGATTGTTTAAATATAATAATATTTCTGTAGTTTTGACATTTCTGAATGGACAAACTGTTTCAGTAGTTCTTTCTGTATGTACAAGTTTAGTGAATAAATGTATACTAGTGAATGTGCTTTTGTTGTTTCACCTTTACTGTCAATAAAAGTCATAGAAATATATGTTAAAAGTTGTAATTTAATGTTTGTTTTTATTCTAACTCATTATGAGAAATCTGATATATATAGTAATAAAAAGTATTTATAAACTTCAGTTACTGTTGCCCACTATTTTTACGAACGTGAATCATCAGATTTAAAAGTGAACAAAGGTTTATTTCTCAGGAAAGTTTTGTACATATGTAGTTATTTTATCAGGAACTGTGACTGATACTGGTGTTCATTGTTATATCCATAAAAATACATGCATAGTAGTTTGTTTTAATATGAGTAGTCACCATATTGTTTTAAACAGTTGTACATGAACCCAGTTTGATGATAAAAGAACGCTTTCACTTTACTGTTTATAGCATAGAGATTTGCAGTAATTTATCTATGATACACATTGATAACAGTTTTACTAAGTTGAAACTTCACCTACACCAGAAAAATCAAACAATAAAGTAATAGTGAAAATATGTTGCATTTTATGTAATGTACAATCGTATTCACAGTAATGTAATTTTTCTAATTTCTCTAGAACTGGTAAAAAACTTTAACTTTCAAAAATCTGTATATCTCAAAATAAAATTTAGTAGTTTACATCTGACTTATATAAAGATATTTACAAGTAAATTTCTCATGACTCATCTCAGCTTCTGGAATGGTTTTAAGATAAAATCTCATCTACTCCCAAGCGAAAGAATATTAATAAAGTGTTACTGACAGATGCCCATTCATCTAGAATGCTGAAATATAGTAATTATTATGAAATTAATGTATGACTATACTTAATAACGCTGCTAATCAAGTTTCCTTTTTACCACTTTTTTTGTGGTTTAGGGTGAAATATGAATCAAGTATTTTAAGTTACTCATCAAAACAGCATAAATTCTCTATTTGTAAGCTGTAAACAATTCTTTAACACCTTTAGAGTAATGAGATCAACATTTTCAGGAATTTTTCATGATTATTTCTTTACAAAATACATGTAGATATCTTTAGATTTGCCCCCCAGTGGCACAGCG